GACATTTAGTATAGAACCACAAAATGAACAAGTCGGAGCGGGAGCCACGCGACACGTCTCACTCCTCCGCCATCCTGGACATTTATCGTTTGATTTCTTTGTATGTATGGATCACTTGGGTTGTTACCGACATCTGGTGAAAATTTCATGTCATTAGCACCTCTAGTAATATATTTACTGAGAAAAATGTTGACGTGTTCAATACTTATTTTACCCGCTGTATCTGCATTATTGCTCCAATTTAATGTATCCTCCAGCTGCTTTAGTGTAAACAGAACAAAACTGGGATAGAAGATAGAAATCTTAGTTTAATGGAGTACTGGGGCAGCTTTGATCCATCTTTGCTGAGATCCTGTGGAGTCAAACAGCCATAATAAACAACATGATAAACCCGGCCATAGGAAGTTTTTTTTTCCTAAATAAAAACCTTCACAAACTGTGCAGGGTTCCTGCGGATCCTTAAAAAATCTTAAAAGGCCTTGAATTTATCATTCCAAAAATAAGGCCTTAATTAACCTTAAAAGGTCTTAAATCAATCTTCAGAAGTCTTAAAAATGTTAACACATTATAAGCAGGATGACTGTATTTCTTATCAAATATTAAAATAATTGGTAACATTTATTTTTTTTTAAATATTCCCATTTAGACATTCCCTTTTGACATCACTTCCTATTTCACATGCAAATATCTCAACAGCTGTCCTTCTGAGCAACGTGAAATTCTTTTTCTAATGTTAATAATGTTGTCTTTCCAAAAATACCTTGATATTTCGTACAAACAGTTTACATCACAGGCACTTTAAGGTTTCAGCAAGCTGGAGTTGAGAACCCACTGTGGGTCCTAAAACTCCAAATCCTGGGTCAGCAGAGGATTTTCAGGAATTAAATTAAGTTTAAAACTGACTGCTAAGAATGTTTTTTGCTAAATTTGACAAAATAGCAGTTAGATATAGGTAAAAAATTGCTTTATTGGCAGAATTTGAATAATTCAACCAAAAATAATTTGATTCACGAGTTTTTTGCCACAGTTTTAATTTTTTGTCATTTGTGTTTATTGTAAAATTGGTCTTAAATTTAATTTTACGTGGCATTAAAAAGTCTTAAATTTAACTTGCCTTAAACTGTAGGAACCCTGCTGTAAAAGTGGAGTGAAATGGAAGCAGATAACAGAGTTAGGACTAAACCTGCTTGCTGTAAATGTTTGATATCAGGATGAACACTTTGTCGTTTCTGGTCCCAGGCTCCATCAGTGGTGTCTGGTGAGTCCAGTCTTCCCGGTGCGGTGGACCAGATGCAGCCACCGTTCGTTTCCCGCTTCCTCGAGGGTCAGTCCGGCGTCACCATCAAGTCCGTGTCCTGCGGCGATCTCTTCACCACCTGCATGACAGGTCGGTGAGCTCCTCCCCCTCCAGATCACAGCCCCGCCCACTCAGTCCAACTGCAGGAAATCAGTGTTTATGTTCTGCTTTTCTTCCTGATGGAGCGAATCCTGAAGAAACAAAAAACCTCCCTGTGCTCGTTTAGAAATGCTGTTTTTCCTGAGCTCAAAATGAGGTGTTCTGTTAGTTGTCTCTCTGTAGGGGAGTCTAGCATCTCAGTGGAGATAACACTGGATTAAAACCTCTTCCTCCTCAGTTCACTCGTCTCTCTTTCATCACTTCTCACTGCAGCGACACAGATTAGCGTTTCCTGGGGATTAGAAGCGTTCTGTTGATCTACACACAGACTCACCTCCTGTTTTCATGTTGACCCTGCAGACAGGGGCATCATCATGACGTTTGGGAGCGGGAGCAACGGCTGTCTGGGACACGGGAACTTCAATGACGTGACGCAAGTACGGCTTCTTTTCTTCAGCTTTATATAACATCTTTAGACGCCTGCTTTTCTTTTCTGTTCTCATCTGCAGCCCAAGATAGTGGAGGCTCTCCTGGGCTACGAGTTGGTCCAGGTGTCCTGTGGAGCGTCCCACGTCCTCGCTGTGACCAATGAGAGGGAAGTGTTCGCGTGGGGAAGAGGAGACAACGGTAAAGCAGATGAACTGGTTGTTTTAGGGACTCTTTTCGTGCTCGATGCTTGATCTTTAGGTCTGTCCTGTAGGCCGCCTCGGTTTAGGCACCCAGGACACCCACAACTGTCCACAGCAGGTGTGTTTACCTGCGGAGTTCGAGGCCCAGAGGGTGGTGTGTGGCGTCGACTGCTCCATGGTCATCAGCAGCCGAGGCTGCATCATGGCCTGTGGAAGCAACAGGTAACCAGACAGAAAGAATGGAGCTGTTAGACATAAAAGAAGCAAAACAGAAACTAAGAGCTAAAATATGATACAAACTACAAGCTAAAATAAATTAAAATGCTAGCTAAAAGTCACAAAACGTAAACTAAAACTGAAAGTAGCAAAAGATTGGCTAAAAGCTAAAAGTAACAAAAAGCTAGTAGGTAAAAGTATAATAGTAGTTGATGGAAGCAAAACATTAGCGTCTAATTAGGTAAAACTAACAAAAAACCTAACTAGATGCTAAAAGTAGCAAAAGCTTTGCTGAAAGTTAAAACTAGCAGAAGACTAACCAAAAACTAAAAGTAGAAAAAGGCTGGCTAAAAGATAAAAGTAACAAAGACAGCTAAAAACTAAAACTAACAAAATTCTAAATAAAAGCTTAAAGTAGCAAAAGGACAGTTAAAAGTTCAAATTAGCAAAATCTTACCCTGAGCTAAAAAGGTTATCTAAAACCTAAAACTAAAAAAAAGCTAACTAAAACTAAATGTAGCAGAATGGTAACTAAAAATAGCAAAAGCTAGCTAAAAGCTGAAGTTAGCAAAAGCTAGCTCAGAGCTAAAAAAAAAGTTATTTAAAAAAAGGCTAACTAAAAGTTAAACGTAGCAGAATGGTAGCTAAAAGCAGCAAAAGCTAGCTCAAAGCTCAAGTTAGCAAAAGCTAGCTCAGAGATAAAAAAAAAGGTAATCTAAAAGCTAAAACTAATAAAAGGCTAACTAATCGTTAAAAGTAGCAGAGTAGTAGCTAAAATCTATCCAACCCTAAGTTGAACCAGAAGCTTAAAGTAGCAAAACTCTAGCTTATAGCAAAAATTAAATCAAAAGACAAAAACATAAAACATCCTCAAAGACATTTCAAATGTTTTGGGATGAATTAAAGAAATATTAGTGTTTTTTTGTGGATAAAATAATTGTAAATAAAGTTAAATATTTTGAAAAGTATAAAAGTTACAGAAACTAAAGTCATGGCAGCGATCTGCTGACTCGGCAGAATGTTGTTGTCAGGTCAGGTAGGTTTACTGTAAGTTTAACCTGTGCAGGAGTTGATGCAGAAATAAATGTTTCTGTAAAGAGTTTCATGGCTCAAAACCTGCGAGACGACATTCTCTGAATCTGACAGTGTTTGTTCCAACTGTTCATTTCTTTTACACAAAGGCTTTAAAGCATGTTAAAGCAGTGAAAACAGACATTCAGTATAAAGTTAAATTCTGTGATGGCACGTCAAAGTTTTCATATTTTGTTGTTTTGTTTCCGTCAGGTTCAACAAACTGGGTTTGGATAAAATCCCAGCAGCAGATGAACCAGATGCTGCCAATCAGGTGGAAGAAGTTCATTCTTTCTCTCCGGTCCAATCAGCGCCGCTCAACACTGACAGGATTGTTTACATCGACATTGGAACGGCTCATTCTGTAGCTGTTACAGGTTAATAAATCTGTTTCAAATGACTCTGCTTCAGCTTGTGTTCATCTGAGCTCAGTTTGTGTCTCCTGTCTCTCTGATGTCCAGAAGCTGGACGCTGTTTTACATTCGGCAGCAACCAGCATGGTCAGATGGGCTACAGCTCGCGGCGGAGCAGCCGCGTGCCGTACGCTCTTCCTGGTCTGCAGGACATCACCGCCGCCGCCTGCGGAGACGCCTTCACGCTGGCCGTGGGATCGAGTGAGTTCACTTCCTGCGCAGTCCTCCTTCAGGGGTCTCCACAGCGAGCCGTCCTCCTCCGTCTCACCCTGTCCTCTCCTCTGCCCCTCCTCTGGACACGTCTGGTCTCTGGGTTTATCTCCCAGCTGTTCAGCCTGTGCTGTACCTCTGAAGATCTCAGTCCGACTCTTATCCATCCTCATCACTCCTGTAGGGATTAGATTAATGAAATCAGGGCCAGCCTAATTTTCATAAATGTAACCCAGGATCTTGCAAGAAATGAAATCAGAACA